TATCGATATATATTTTTACTCACTTTATTATTTTTTTTATGAGAGGAGAGATTTCTTCAAAGTTGCAGACTACGGGATTACTAAATTTTATAACAAATTTCACTATATTTTTTCTTTGTGGCTGCCCGATCTGATTACCTTCCACTTATTTCGTTTCTCGTCTTATCATTGCCGTTCCTTTTTCCCTTAGTATCTTCTGTATGAATTCCGATCATCATATTTCCCCGGAGTCCATTTTACCAGACGCCGTATTTTCTCATCCTCCGCTTCGGCATTTTTTCCATTTATTAAATGCACTCTGGTAAAGGTCACCAGTCGCTACTTCTTTTCGGTATGAATCGTGTGATTTGTATTCAGTCTTTTGATGCTCTCGACGGCGGGAAATTTTTGGTAGATGCTAAACTTGTCATGCGCGAACTCAATTACTTTTCCCCGTATCTCTGTCTCCCGCATTTTTTAATATCCGGGAAATGCCGTGGAAATCACTCTATTCAGTTTTCCGCGGAAACGGGGGGAGGGGCGGAAGAACTTTTGCTATTGTTTGTTATTCTGTTTGGATAATGCTGCCGTTGGGTCGTTGCACATTGCAATTACTCAACGTGCGATTAATGAAGTCACGTTGCGGAGTAATATTTTATTGCTTTCTGGTTAAAATTTTTGATACGCTTCTTTGGAATTGTCAACAAGTGACATTTCCACGGAACATTCAGGGAATTTACAGAAACATTTTCCTCTCATTTTTATTTGATAAAAGAAAAACAGATTAAAAGATTTTGTCAATGCTTGATGAATAATAAATTAAAAATTGAGAACTGAACCCTGAAAAATCGAACAATTTTTTATCTTCATTGGAGATTCGTTTTCTGCAAAGAAAATCAATTATAGAAAAAAATTCATAATTCAATTATCGAATTATTGGTTCAGAATCCTATATTTTTTTTTGTCTTTTTTGAATTTTTTGAAATTCGAATAATTTTCCACAGGATTGAAATGTCACGCGCACGACCATCGTGACTATTACTTTTGTCGTGATTACGATAATTGAAATTAGTTGGTATCCACCTGTGCCTTTCCCGCGAGGGGGGGGGGGGCGTAGGCTTTGAATAGCGCCTATTTCCGAATCCGTATGAATATTCCAGTGGATTTAAGCCTCATCGAGTGCCGCGTGTTGGCAAAACCTCTCCACATTTGACTCCGCAATAATAAAATTTTTTAATGAAGGTAATAATTAGACACCGGAGGATCAGCTTCCATCAGGCGGTGTTCTTTCCATGCCCTCGGTGAATTTAATTAATTCGCGATGAAGTAAACAGGCGGTGGAGGTATCGTGAAATAATGAATCATCTTGATGCATTCAATTACACTTTACGATTATTGTAATTTGCCCCCGGGGGAAAGATGACTGGCCCTATTTTGCAATTATGCATTCCGGCCTCGAGTACTAGGAGTCATTAATTTAACGTTGTAAAATCGATTGACTCACGGCCAACACGACTAGGGCTTCCAGTCGATACTGTATTGCCAATTTTTTTTTCAAAAGATTATTCCTCTACTTTTGTGTACACCAACTCTATTTTTCAAGCTTTTATCTGGCTTACAACTAGAATCATCCGTCCGCAAACGGTCAGATGGAGTATTTTGAGTTTCTTCACAACTGAATTGAGCAAAAAAAAATGATCCCTCCCGAATAAATATAACTATTAATACAAATATAAAATATAATAATATAATAAATATAGATATAACTAATATTCGTAACAATAATTTTTCAATAACGAAATTTTTCTTCTGGTGCGTCATTTTCAGGTGGTCGGTGTAGAAATTTTTGAAAAATTATTTATTCTTCGTGAATAAATAATTTAATGAAGATAAATTATTTCAAAGATATTGCCCTGATAGACGTATTCGCGGAGTGGAACCAATCCGGGATTCGTGTGAAAAAAACTAATATTTCAGTAACGAGATTTTTTTTCGTTGAGTAAATCCGGGTTTTCCGGTAGAAAAAATGTGGAAAATTGACTCTGTTGTTTACAAATGAATAATTGATATCAGGGAAATTGTTTCAAAACCATTGCAGTGATCGAAGCAATTATAGGGCCGGCAAAATAATAATTCTTCTGTGTGAAAATAATTTTCCAATAACGAGAGTTTTTTGTGGTCAGTAAATTCCAGGTTCGTGACAGAAAAATTAAATATAAATTAATTCTCCATTCCGTTCTATCAGAAATTAATTAATTTAGAAATATATAGTACTTCGAAAAAACATTGAATTTATGAATTAAATAACTCACGTCCCTATAGTATTAGAGAACTATTCCTGCGGCTAAGAAATCTTTTTCTATTTTATATCGATAAAAATACTTCAGTCGAGCGAATGAACACAATGCATTACGATAACGCTTTCACGACAATTATCGCATTAAATCGCCTCGCGTATTTTCACATCGACCATAAAATATGGCAGAAAGCAGCAACTGGTGTTACGACGGATAAAAATTACGAGTTCCTCAGAAAATCACCCGAAAATATAGCAATTTTATTATTGTTGTTCAGCAAGACTATAATCCAGTTAATAAAAATATCAATATTATTCCGTACCATTTACTTGACTCGTACAATTCCATAGGGCATTGCCGGTATAACAAATCCGTCTCCCCAAGTAAAGCGCAACACAATTGCTAAACTTCGGGGTAAATATTATTGCATATTTTCCAGAGGGAAATAAATAATAAAAAAATCATGAGGACATGCTCTCCCAACAGATTCCAACGGAGGGAAATCAATCACTTCTCGGCAGTCTGACTTCAATTAATCGTAGCAGTTCTCCCGGTGGAGTAGCCGTTCCCATGAAATCCGCATTATTCTATTTCCAACATTCTAGGGAATTTAATTTAAGTAAGTGAGCACTTGGGGTTGCATTGAGTGCCTCGGACGGAGGTATCTTTATCCCCAGGCGAAATGACTCTGTTTGGAAGCTGGCACGACTAGATTATCGACAGGAAATGTATGAGCACCACCTGTTTTTCCAGAGTGGCTTTTCCGATGCTATCGCAGAATGCACAACGAAGGGATAAAAAATATTGCAAAGTGTATTCAAACCCCATTGGAGAGACTCTCTCCATCAAGTGGAATTTTTTTTTTTTTCACTCATTAAAAATTCACGAGCCACTGGAAAAACCTCTCCAATTCCCGGAGAAAGAGTCTCGCGATCTCCGAATTGAAAATGTCACCGGATAATGAATCACACGGTTTTAATCTGCTGGAGGCTTTTCATGGGTATGAATGAGCAAATTTTCAATGCCTATGTCCAATTAATTCGATGACCTGGATAGCGCAGGAACACAACAACCTAGAATTCTGATGGACAATGAGTTACTGGAGCCATTCGGGTTCAACGAACGTTATTCATTAGCAATTTTTCTCGAAAAAGGCTTTTGATTTTGTGGAGACCAATATACAGGGCTCCCAGAGAATACCACTCCAATTACCTCATTCCCCTGATCCTATTCGACCGGCATTCGAGCATCTTGGAGAGGATATTGAGGGGCTAGATGACTGGGTAAATCTATCTGAGTGCTCTGGAGAGTTGGGCTGTCCCCCAGTGACCTGATATGTCCACGTCCACAGAAAATAATTCTTTAATTAAGTACTGAGGGTGTATTTACAGAGGTCATGAGAGAACATTGAGCCTTATAAATCACTGGCTGTCATTTCTCACGCGGAGAAAAATTCATTGTCAAATTTACCCTCAACTTCAGTAAAAATTTCAAACACCAAATTTTTTTGCTTCAATTCAAAATTTCCCCTGATTTTTCATACGTAATATGTGAATAAATTTTGATCATCATGACTTTTAAAAAATACCTAATTAACTCGTTTTGCAAAAAAAAAAACATTTTTTATGTTACAAAAAATTTCTTGGTGATGAATATTTTATATTCAATAAAAATTTCTGGATTCATGAAAATTTATTCTTGATCCAAGATATTTTCTAAAATCAAACCGGCAAACCATATGGTGTTGAGTGGAGAAATGTTTTATTTCTAAAATCAAACTTGAATTCTCTGTGTTGATTATTCGGATTGAAGAAGAAACTTTTCTATTTGCATTATCTCCCCGGCATTGTACCACTTCTGGATCATCTTGAAACGGACAAAGTGCTACGTATTCAAACCACCACGAGTGCTCCGGAGAATTGGGTTGCCCTCCCAAAAGTCCGGACAATACCCCGAGGCCCTTCTCCAACGTCCACATCAGTCTAGAATAATTCACGTGAGCAGGCGGCGTACGTGAGTCACCAATTACAGTCGTAAATTCAGAGCACTAGCATACAAACTCGTGTGGGAAACAGAACCCTCAAAAGTTTACCATCACTGAGATCATTGACCCCGGATTAGGATAGTGATTAATACAATCCAGAAGGTGCAGAAAGTTACAGTTTAAATCGGGGACAACTGAGAGGGATTATGTACAGGGATTGCATTCGTTTAAAGGAAAAACAAAACTTCAACTCAAAACATGGCTCACAAGGCTCATTCCAGGGACAAGCTTTCGTGAGCGAAATTCCCACCTCCAGAATGTTCTTCCGCAACCAAAAAAAAAAGGATTGAAACTTAAGATCTTCAAAAATCACATCATAACACCTACGACAATTCAAATTTGAGTTCTGATTGTGTCAAATCAAGATCTTTGCGATCCCTGAATTTCTCAAATTAATACTTCCCAAGAATTTAACTTGAGCACCTTGCAAGTGGCAAACTACATGCATGAAAGTTTTACTATAAGACTTCTGAAAGTCTCAATTTGAGATCATCAATTCCAAACTAAAGTTCATGTTTAACGAACAATATCTGGAGTCGCGTTATTTTTAACGTCTCAAATTATGACCCACGGAAGCCTCAAATAAATCTTAAAGGTTGAATTTGATTGGATGCGGTTAATCGGGAGTGTGTGAGGTTGAGATAAGGTTTTTTTTTTTAACGGGGAAAAGAAGGGTTTACCTGGCGAAACTGGCGTATTCCCCCGTTGATCCTGAGTGAATCAGCGGCAATGCCGGCAATTCCATCACCGGGTTCTCGGAGTTGTCTGAGGGAAGCACTCGGTGCAGCACCAGCATGCAGAGGACAGCACGAGCCCGAACAGCAGCATGCAGATGCCTCGGGTTGTGAGCTCTGTCGAATAATCCTTGCACTTGGTGATGTTGTCACGAGAACTGGTGGTGGTGGTGCTTGACAGGGACAGCAGTGGTAGCCACTCTTGACGCTCTCCCTTTAAAACAATGTATCGTCGTGTTGATTACGAAATATTCGCTTTAATAAACTTGGAGGTTTCGGTAGTTCTCGGCTCTCGTGTTTTCATCGGTGTCTGGCCTTTTTTCTTTCTAACTCGGTGAGTTTTATGGGCGAGCCTGTTTGGGTACATTGGAGATGATAATTGAAATTTTTATGACAACATCGTGAGAATGATGGGACGAGTGAGAGACACCGAGGCAATTTTATCTCCTCATCACCAGATGCTCGTGAAATTTAAAATTAGATTCTACTCTCTTCAGTTTGAAATTAATTTGTTTTATTACTCTCATCTTGTGTGATGCTTTTCAATGTCACGGGGGTGAAATGAGATTTCTACCGGATAGGGGATGATTGCTTATCAATGATCCCAAGGATTTACGCTTTCTACTCACTTCAATTATTTTTTATGGTATATCCGGGATTATCGCGTCTTCTACTTCGTATGAATGATTGTTTCAACAATTGTTGTGAACCCCGAAAAATTGCTAGGTAAAAATTGGAAGTTGTGAGAGAAGGGTAGTTGGAAAAGTTCTGAAAGCTCGAGATTGATTTGATTCACGTTGATCCTTCGGGTTGATTCTGAATATCAGATTTCATTGAAAAATCGAAATAGAACTAGGACCTTTTTTTTATTGAGCGGAAACCGCTAGTTCAACCCAATTACGCGCCGGTAGTACTCTATTATGGTACTTCCACATTTTTTGTTGAAAAAATGTACTGTTGCGGCCTGCTGAAACAACGGAGTACTTTGTGTCAAGTAGCGTTCCAATTTCCTCTGATAAACGTCGAGGAATATACAGCAGCATCAGCTCAACCCGAGACTCAGCGAGTCTTGACCTTTAGCAAGGTGACCTTTTAACTCAATTTAATAGTTACTTTAAACTCAATTTATCATGTTTTTAGTACTCAAGTCTCGTGGGTACCTGATCCACCGAGTAAACTGGTTTGATTGATCGACATAAACTGTCCCAAACAGCATTAGAAAATACCGGAAGTTGGGATACCGAATTATTTAGCGGTTCGATATCTGGGGGAAGTCAATGGGGAAAAGCTTTCGCACAGATAAAATCCCTCGTAATTCTCATGATGTCAACATTTCCCGACATTTTAAGGAACAAACCCATCATTCGGGATCTTCAAATAATACATTTTCAAAATAATTCCTTTCATTCGAGATAGGGAAATTTTCTAAGAGCCAGAGCTACCCCATCCCCAATAATTTCATCCCAAAAATCATAGATTAAATCTGATTAAAAATTTTTCAATTGCCTCTAACTTTCCGTGATAAAATCGATACTATCGAGATTTAATTCCGGGATGCAACTAGAGATCATAAATCAATAAATAATGCAAAATGGAAATGAAATTCCCCATTCGAAAATATGGATTCCCAAAAAAAAAAAAAAAATAAATTGCCAGATGATGTTCATCCACGTTCACGTTTGAACACGAGAATATAGCGAAATGGATTTAATAATTTTTGGGTGTGGATGCCGTGTAATAATGGTATGACCTACCTCGAAACACTGCGTGCCAGATGAAGGGCAGATGAGGGTGCGAGGGAGTCCCGCCTGTCGCATCGGCAACGGTTGTACTGATGGGATGTCTGTCTGGTGCGATAAAGAGTGGTGGTTGGATGATGTGATGTGCATTGTTGCTGCAAGCTGTCACCATCGAGGCGACAGTGCAATTCGATATCCGGTACTGATCTAGTGGATGGATCCTCATTGGTGGCACTCTCCTCGGAACCACCGAGTCCCGATACCGACAGCTGTGGCGATGCAACGAGATAGGTTGCACGATCCTGACGAGTTAACACAGGTTTTCCCTGTGATCCAGCAGCAACGACAACTGGTGGTGGTGCACGGCTGAGAAGTGCTGCGGTTTCCTCGGTACTACCATACTCATTGCCATTTCCACCCTCCTGTGAACCGGCATTACCATTTGTGTTCATGACTACTCCACTGCTTCTTTTAATCAGTCCCCTCACGTCGCCATCTCCTACAATGCCAGAACGGTCAGGTATGATTAGATTCACCAGATTCGAAGACACTCTCCTCATTTCGTTATTCAATTACATTTAAATTTATCGGATTGAGGTCATGCGGATGTGAGTACTGTTGTCGGTCAAAATTGGAGAGAATACCCGACGCTGGCCGAGGAGTGCTTGAAGATAGCAGAAGTCACAATGGCAAACTCATACAAAAGATGGGGAGAGAATCAGGGGATGGGGGATTATTGGCAACTCGTGTGGATCCAATCAATACAGTTATCCCCTTTGTCGGGGATTCTAGATTCAAAGGGGAACGAGTGTTTCGTCCTGACTCGTAACTTCGTAGGCAGAAGCCACAATACAATGAATTCTAGTCTTCGTCTTTTTCGACTGATTGAAAAGACTGACGGAGAGAGGGAAAAAACGTGGGATTTATTGGAGATCTTTTGGGAGATAATTTTATAGTTGAAATTTCACTGTTGTGGATAGATTACACGATTATACAAAATCGGGATAAATTTTCATATCAATTTTTTCGCTGCGCGAAGCGAAAGATCAAATATTTGATGTTCGAACTTATACAAAGGATTTGAAAGAGTTCCTAAAGAGTATCATGCAAACTCTGGGGAAGGATTGGGTAACTGAAAGACCCTGGATAACGTGCAATGCAAATCTCTCGTTAAGCTCGACAACCACGTGCACCAAGAGATTGTTTTTTTTTTCAGAAAAAGATAGTACTGCAAACATCACAATCGAATGAAATTTCGAGATTTGTTGAATGTCTGGGGATTTACGTGAAAACTTCACATCGACACGAGAGAAAATCGCGTATTATTCTCCCTATGGCGAGAGAAATGCTTGAAAAAAATCGCAGAGAGCCGGAAAATTCTATAAAAAAAAAAAATGTCTACAGCCCGCGATTTTTGCCCGAAATGGTAACACATTTCTCCATAAATCCCGGAAACTTCACGTGAATACCACTAAAATTTTTTATAGTCAATAGATTGTCAATTTCTGATTTAAATAAAAAAAAAGGAAAAAGAGTTTTTTCTATCGAAAAATCAATCAGCTACAAAAAACCTCCAGGGGTCTCACGTTAAATCGATAGTCATCGAGATAAATCGGTGCTGAGTTTTTCTACAGATTTTCTCTTCTCTGTCTATTTCGGGATTGGATTGAGTTCATTTTTGCTGGGAGTGAAAGAACGAATGATTTTTGAAATGTGAGTGGAAATTTGCATGCGTGCCAGGGAATCGCATGGAGAATGTTAACAGTGCTATCGCGAATAATCGATCCTGTTTCAATGTATTCCATTGTACATTGAACGAGTCCTGAGCGGGCATCTAGTCACGGAACCCATAACTCTTTCGTTTGACTTTTCACCCCGAGCCTATTTGAGCGTCTCGTACGGGGTTGTAATTTATTCAGAAACCATGAAAAATATAGTTATGCAGTTGGATATGCACCGTTCTCTTGTATGCGCTTGGGTTAAAGTTTCAACAATGAAGGTGCACGGAGAAGTGCGTGAAATACTGTTGGCATGCATTATTTTTATAGCCCGAAGAAAATTCCGACACGGCGCGTAAAAGTTTTTCGATGTTGGACAAAAAATTATTGATGTTAACAAAAAAATTCTAGATTCAAGAACATTTTTCTACAAATATAAATTTTTCTTCCCTCGTGAATAAGGATTTTTTTTCTTGGAAGCACATTGGTGTAGGTGTCAATTTTCCTTAATATTTTGAAATAAAAACTGTGAAACAATTGAAAAAGTCACATTATTCGTGAATTTCAGTTCCCCGAACCGCGAATTCCGGGAGACAATAATTCTTTTTCTCTGCAGAGTAGACCACGTTCGTGGAATAAATAACAATGGAGTTTTAACCAACCGAGACCATATTCCGACACAAAGGGATGTAATTACTGAAAAAAGTGAAATAAGTTGGGGTGAAATTGATCCATCGGCATGGCCGAAATGGATTTTCCCGATCTTCTGAGAATTTCGATCCCCATTATCTAGCAATTCCAACGAATCCTGCATTACAATTGCAGTCGAGCAAATATTCCAATAAATATTAATGCCAATTCCTCGTTCCGCTCAATTTTTCTCTCTGCATATTCATAAATTCAGCTATCGCAATAATCCACCCCTGTTCCACTGCAGAGCTCATGCCCCTCGAATCCTCGTCTTTTTCCGGGCATAACGAAGTTAATTTAACTGGTGGAAAGCAAACTCGGGGATAATTAAACTTTCCACACCGACGAATTCAACTTGACAAGATTGACAAATGATGTGAGTCTATTTGCGAGCAACTATTGTTCGCAGAAGTCAATTTGTCAGTTGAATTTGGCTGATATGATTCAATTGATGGAGTTTCCGGGTGCCAAGTAGGCCAGGTGTCAGCTAGTGAGATATCAGCGTTCCAGAAATATCGATAGATCGCATTTTAAAAGCTCCCACTACATTTATGCATAGACCCAGTAAAAGCAAACAGTGGATCTGATCTCAGGGGTGCTCGCACCTCTTCATAAAGCGAGTACGTGCAGAAATTTGCAAAAGTTCACTCGGTCATTCATCGTGGCAACTCTTCCCTTCAAAGCACCGCGAGAATACGGGATCGCGTGCATTGAGACAGCATTGACTTCTACCGTCATCGATTTCTGAACTGCCACATGAAAATATATTTTTCCAAAAAATCTCTCCACAAGCGCGAGAACTAACGAATTTTTATTGATAATTTTAGGAATAGGGAGGGGAGGAGATGGGCCAGGGGGAGTTACACTGTCTCTAAATTTTCCAAGTTGCTATTAGACGAAAGTACTGATAATCAAACCTTTACGGACATCAAGTTGTATATAAAATACGCAAAAAGCGAAAGTGGATTTAATGGGTTTGCGAGTGGACGATAAAGCCGCAATATACACGTCTGCATAGAGCAGACCTCCTGGTGTGAATTAGCTTCTCTGCAGCAAGTTCTCTGAGTTTACAAAATGAAGAGAAAAGTGTTTATCGGATTGAGTAGGAATCGTTGAATAGCAACGAGTGCGTGAAAATCCGCATCGATTATTCAAACATTGATGATTGAAATGGCGCTAAGCGGATGAACTCTTTCACGTGTACATTTCAACACCTCGTCGATAGTAATTACGATAAGTCCATTATCCGTTGTAGAACAGCAGCAGGAAGAAGAATAAACAATGGAAGAATGAATAGAGAATTTGTCGGGGATTAATTTGCATTGACGAAAGGTGAAATGTCGTTGTTTATTGCTTTTTGATTCTCTTGGTTCTGTTGATTTAGCGCAGGGTTTGAGGTTGCGGTAAGGAAAATATCACAATGAGATTTTTATAGCCGAGACGGATCGATGATGGTGTCCCGATAGGCTCAGGGCACACATTGCAAACCCAAAGCATTTTGATAACTGGAACGATAGGCCACTGAATGTTTCATGTACTTTCGATTACGACAGTGATTCACCTTCACGAGTGTGTGGGTCTACTAAACGACTTGCTCTTGATATTTCTCTGTTCTCAAATCACGAGGGAAATGAAAAATGCAAGCCCAACCCGAGTCGACAGTTCCTCCTGCGTCATTATCCGCCTGTCGTGTATTGTTGATAAATAGGTCAGGGGGTACGAAAGAATATGCGTAATTCACTTGTCGTGTCTCTCATTACCTAGCGCCCTGTCACAGCAATCCCGTCAGCTGGAAATTACTGTCTTCCTGGGTGGTGAATGGTTTAATAACGGAATCCCATTCTTTTGGGTTTACACCCGGAATAAAACAAAAGTTATTGCGGGATTTTTAAAAAACTTAACTTGGCAGTTTTGATTATCTCAATTTGAGGCGCGAAAATATCGAGTTAATGAGTTTTTCACGGTGTGGGGTTTAAAATGATATTTGAGGTGATTTTACGAGTGTTGAATTGAATTTAAAAATTGTGAATGAGAAATATTAATTTAATGTAGAGCGTTTGTTTAAATCTTTAAAACTCTCAATTATTGTCGTGAGATCATAACTCTCAAAACAATGTTGAATTTTTTTTTGTTGGTGAACTACTCGGGTTTCTCCTGACAACATCCAGGGTGTAATTCTCCCCAGAAATCTGAGGACACCCGGGTATGATTGTGGTGGCAATTAAGCCGTAATTACTGGAACAGCGAGAGGTAATGTTGGAGTAATTGTTACGAATCGTGCAGCAAGGAACCCTGAGGCTAGCCCACTTCATTATAATTTCAGGTATATTTTTGTACTCAAGAGTCGGAGGTAAAACATCTGATGAGAACACGTGTAGTTCTCGCATACTCCAATCCGAAACATAAAAAAAACCGTTCCACTTTCTGCTCCCCAGATGACAATGAAAAACAAAGTCAGGGGTCCACTTTCGCCCTCGATTTCTCATGCTGTCACGAGTGGAAGGAAAAAAATATATAAAAGCTCGGATCGACATCCAAGGGTCTAACAATCTGGAAAATTACATCGTTTCGTTAAATTCCCGTTGAAGTTAGCCGAAAAAAAAGAAAACATTTCCATTTTCGAAAAATGTTTAACCATTTTCTCCCCAACAAATTCTTTAAAAAACTTCTAGATAGATTTATAGAAATTTCTGGAAGTCGTTGATTTGTGTTTGATAAAATTGTTAAAAATAATTGGAAATACCGAAAAAAAAAAAATGTAAACCGATGAAATGAGAGATCGGGAAAATCATGAGAATAATTTTAAAAACCATTGTACCGGGCAAAATGGCGGGTGCAGACGCTTTGTGGAAAGTCCTCTTATCGCTATCCTCTCGCGATATTAATCACGGGTACAGCGGAACAATCCGGTGATACCCATTCTAACCCCAAGCGGATTAGCGATCTATCTCAGCGACAACGAAGGGCAACCAAAGGGAAAATCAATATTCGTTGGAAAATACAAAAAAAAGCGGCCTCGAAGGAATTTATAGTTAGAGAGGGGAGTGTTAAAGAGGCGCGCATCGTTTTATCACGTCCTGCCATCAGACTT